CTGTGTAAATAAACTTTTCAACTGCAGCAGTTGGCTTCTGCATTCTGTTTGGAAAAATCTCAGGGTCCCAGCCAAGATACTAAAATGCATTCACACCGCCCCTCAGCGTATCAAAGCTATCCCAGTGGGACATTAGATCTTTTAAACAGCTTCAAGGCTGCAGCCATTGAGCCATGTCAGTTAAAGTGCTGTCAAACTGGATTATTTCAGCAGTGCAGATGCAGCCTCAGTAACACTAGAAAATCAGCCTGGTGTAATGGTTTGACTAATGGACTACAAACCCAGTAGGTTAGGGGATCAAATCCCCACTTTTCCATGGAAACCCACTGAGTGATCTTGTACAAGTGACACTCTCTCAGCTTCAGAAGAAGGTGCCGTGGACTGGCCTAGGCTTGTCTCATGACAGAGCAGAGATTGACCATGATAAGTGTATGCAGTCCTTTGCAAGCGGGCCCTAACTCCCTTCCCCAGGACCTCTTCCACTACCCCAGGTGGATGTCCATATTTGTTAAGCTAGTTCCACCAATGCAGCCCCCAATTCTTTTATTCCACAAAGGAGTCCCCTTTTTTGGTAGCGTGATAAGGCTTTAAGCATGCGGTGAACAACCAATAACCGCAAGCCACAGCAATAATAACTTTTTTTTAAAAAAAAAGGTTTACTAATCAAACATAAAAGTAACAGCAAAAATTACATTGTTTGTTGGATCCGAACATAGTTAAAATTACATAGTTTGTTTCGGTTTTCAATAAGTCTCAACTGAGCAATAGGAAAACAGATAAACAATAAATACATTCCTCCTAATTTACCTAATCACAATGCCTAAAATATATATAGATGTCTTAGATTTTTCCAGTTATCTTCCTGTCAGTTTCCAAGCAAGCAATTCTTTACAGAGAAGCTTTTTTTCTCTGACAAGCTTTGCAGGCAAGGTTTCCCCCAAAAACTGCTCTCCCACAGTTGAAGCCTCACTCTCTGTCTTGTTTTCTGCTTTGGATGTCTTTCTTGGTTTCTTTCTTATCATTCTTGTCTCTCTGCTCTTCTCTTTTTCATTTCTTCAACGTCAATTGTAATTCCAGCTCTCTTTCCATAGCTTCAGCTCAGCTTCCACCTCTTACCTTAACCACCTCTTATTTTTTGACCTGGCTCACTTATATACACAATTCTGCTTTCACTTTTTATTCTTTGCAACCTTCTCCCAAATTTTAGAAAAAATAAATGTAGCCACTGAACATAAACCCCATCATAGACCAATGTAAAATAACACAAAGCACTATGAAATTCACACGTCAACACAAGCTAACATACAGCACTGTTCCTTCACAGAAGGCAATGGCAAAACCCTTCCAAACCAATCTTGCCAAGAAAAGCCTGTGTTAGGTTGGCCTTAGGGTTGCCATAAGTCAGAAATGACCCAAAGACACACAACAATAAGATAATAGTGCCTGAGCAAATAAATAGCAATAGCACTTTACATTTCTATACCACTTCTTAGTGAACCAAGCACTCTAAGCAGTTTACAATACCTACCCAGCTGGCGTAAATTCATATGGGCCCAAGCAATGCTTAAATATTTGGAAATTTAAATATTTGGAATATTTTGGATATGAAGTAGTTGGACTACAGTTCCCAAACAATAACTTTTCCAAGCTCTGGGCCCAAGGGGTAATAGATCTTTAAAGTCTTGTGGAATGAATGCAAGAAAAAGCCCCTGTGGCATAGAATGAAGTCTCTTTGCCATAAGGATTTTGTAATCTGGTGTTATCCTCTGCCCACAATTTAAAATCTTTTTAATCGTTTAACAAGGGCCCAATTAATTAGGGAATGTTTTTCATGAAACACAATGAATTACTGGCTAAACATTTCAGCCTTATTTAAAAAAAATCTCTGTGCCTATTGTTATGGACATATTACATTTTAACAGTAACAGTGATAATATGCTTGTTTCACATGGATTAAGGATGGAGATGGATTGGCAGGTTGGCAATTCAAGGCCCAGGTGC